TAAATAAAAAGTCTGTACGGCTGGCAACACTGGGCCCAGGCTGCCATGTGGCAGCCCCCCCTTTGAGGGAAGGCAAGGACGCCCCACGTGGCCCGGAAGCAAAGGCGCAAGTTTACACACTGAAAGATCCCAGCAAGGATTTAGCATAGGACCAAGGGTCACCACTGCAAAACCTCAGGACACCGGGACAAAGTGCCTGCGAGCAGATACGGGACCCAGGAAACTGCACGCGTCTCCCAACAGCAACCAAACGGGAGCCTAACATGCGATGTCGCCGCACCTTCAAAATTCTGAGGGAAAACTATTTCCGATCTAGAGTTCTACAAACTCTAAAAAATAAATAAACAAGGATGAGGGTAGAATAAAGTCATTTTCAGCCGTGGATGGTCTCTAAAACTGAACCCGTCACGCACCCTCTCTCCGTGAGCTATGAAAGAACGTGCTCCAGCAAAAAGAGGCAGAAAACCAAGGAAGATGGCAAATGTGGACTCTGGCGCAGCCAGGCTCCCGTCACAGAGCTAACTCCTTGACTTCCGTGGGAGGAAGGCAGCAAGAGACGGACAGAAGGGACGGGAGTTGCCGCGATACCATGTTCCTCAGAAAAGCGGAGGTAGCGAGACACGAGGCAGAAGGACAGAAGGTTGAGGCCCCTGGAGGATGGGAAGGAGTGAGGTGAAGGCTTCTCATTTCCGTCATGATTATTTGGAGAATGGCCGGCATTTGGCTTTTTAAGCTCTGTACAACTTCTATAAAGATGAAAACCAAGTTCAAACAAACAGAGCACAAGGAGACAGAAGACCTACCCGCCCTAGGCCCCATTCCTGCAGGCAACGGTTGCCCAGAGCTGAGAGGCGGCGCCCCACGTCACGGCGCACGCACCCCGGTTCTCCCCACGGGCCCCCACACTTGTTCATGTGTCTCGCGTAGCCCCTGATGTCCTCCCAGGTTCTGAATCCACACCGACACCCACCCGCCCATCCACAGGTGTCCGGGACATCTCCTGGGCGCCTCCTGGGCGTCAGCACCCGGAGGCAGCAGTGACGTCGCTGCTGCCGGGCTCACGGGGGCGGGCAGTCGCCACCCGGTATGGTCAGGTTTCCAGGAGGGAAGCACCCAACACAGTCAGGACAGGCTTCCCGGAGGAAGCAGCTCATAGCAGAGCCTGAGACAACACGACTGCAGGCGTACATGTGGGGAAAGCAAGCGCAGATGCCTACTTTTGGCAGCTTCTAGGTCCCAGACGCGGATGGAGCCCGACTGGGAGCCGGCCACAATGAGCTCCTCCGGGGTGTTGAGGCGGACGCTCTCCACTGGGGACGTGTGACCTGTCAGGCTCTGTGGAGAGAGGGTAGCAGCTTCAGGGCACTGTGTGGAGAAGCCCCCGCTGCTGCCCCAGTTTCTGGCTCCCCAGGAAGGGCATCAGCAAGAGGTGGCTCAGCAGGGAGGCTGTGCTCCACGGAGCCACACCGAGGCTCTCCCACATGCAGGCTGGGCAGCCACTTCTCTGGGCCTCGGCCTCCAGGGCCCAAAGGGAGCCAGAGCCCGGTCACGCTCCAAACCCCTCCCGCTGCCCGGTGTGCCCCAGATGAGGACATCGTTTGCCCAAATGGCCCTGGGCCCCTTACAGGGGAGCTGCTGACCCTCCAGCCCTGAGTCCAAACCACTAAGCTCTGCTTCCACCTAGGCTCTGCTTCCATTCCCACTCTGCCCGGCCATGCTCCTCAGGAGGAGAAACCCTGACAGAACCGAGGCCCGGCTGGTCAATGGCACACACCTCACCCGTCTGGAATGCCTGGATCCCCGGGGGTTGCCCCTGGCGGAAAACCCGGCCACACTCCCAGGCAGGGGCTGGTGGAACCCAGAGAGCTTGGCAGTGACTCTACTGTTAAAAACTCTCATCCAACTCAGCGCAGGCCAAAGCCGGGCAGGGCTGGGGCAGGGCTAAGCCAGGTCCCAGCCCAGCCCCTTAGAGGGGTGGGAGGTGCTGGCATTTCCAGCTTTCTGGAGAGAAGGCTGGAATGTGAAGTCCATGGCATCTGTCACTCCCGCCCAGCACTGACCACCTCGAGGCACAGTGGTGACTCCATCATTGTTTGCTAAGACGATGTTCCGAGGGAGGGGTGGAGATGGCAGGGGAAACTGCTCCCCAGCAGAACTACCCAAAGGCCAGACAGTCACAAGCAGCCTGTGTGACTCACAGACGTCACCAGTAGGAGTATAAATGAGTAGAAACTCCATGGGGGGCCAGTGGGCAAAATGTGTCCACACTTAGAAATGCACATTCCCTGCATGCCACAACCCTACCTCTGGGGGCCTCCTCTGCACACGCTCAAACACATGGCAAACAAAATAGACACAAGGTCGTTCACCGCAGCGAATCTTTTACACAAAAGACTAGAAGCCATATAAGTGCCCATCGGAGGAAATTGGTCAGCTAAGCTGTGGTCCTCCATGCAACAGAAAACTTATTACTTGGCCATAAAAATGAATGAGGGAACCGTCCGAATTATAATAAAGACTCATCTTCATAACACTTCAGGTGAGAAAAGGTGAACGGTGTATACAGAATACTGTCTGTATATTAAAAAAACAAAAACAAAAACAAAAACAAAAAAAAGAAGGGGGAAAATTCTGGAAGGATATAAACTAATCAGAAACTGTGCTGTGGTGGTCCGTAGGGAAGAAAGTGGGAATCGGGGGAGGAAAGAAGACCTTTCACTGCTTACTCTGGATCATTTGGATACTGAACTATACGAAGCTCACACATACTCAGAAACACACAAACAGGTAAAAGTGGACCGTCTACAGGGGGCATAGCATGGGCCTGAATCCGAAGGTGAGCAAGAAGGTGGTGGGGGTGAGGAGCTGAGAGGCCTGGTATGCAGTGTGTAAGCAGGGGAGACATGGGGGGAGGCCTGCAGGCTGACCCCAGCATAAGAAGGGGGTCCCCCACCGTCTGGCGGGGGACGCGAGCATGGGGTCACCTCACGTCCATTTTGGTTGGTCTTTATTGATTCGTTTTCAATCAGTATGTGTTACTTGGGCATTTTGGGGGTGGGGGTAGGACACACTTGAATCCCAAGAATAAAGTGAAGCAAAACAAAGCGATTTCAATTCTGTTCTTTACCCTGGCCCTGATTCAGCTTGGATCTCAGTTCTTGGCTGCATCTCACAGAAATACTGAGGTGATTAAGTTTCTACTAAAAAAAAAAATCACTTCCTATCCCTTATCTTTATCTTCACGTGGCCGAGAATCATAAGAATGTTAATACCCTGCGCTGGCAAGGTCGTGGGGGGGTGGGGGGGGGAGGGCAGGTCCCCATTCTTCTGGCAAGAATATAAATTGATTTCTGGAGGGCAATTGCCAATGTTTCGAAAGCTTTTTAAGAAGTGCACACCCTCAGATAATGCAACCATCGCAGATCTGTTCAAAGATTGAGGTAGATGAGGATGTTCCCCTCTGTAGCTGAGCAGAGCCACAGCACTGGAAATAACCTTTAGGCCGGGAACAGGGCAATGGCTAAGCTAATTCCGGCTCATCCCTACAATGGAATACCAGGAAGTCATTAAAAATCACGCTGTGGAAGGATATTTGTTGACACCGGAAAATGCTCGCAAACAATAAAGACTGTTATCTTTCCAGGCTACAGAGGAATAAGATAGTGGTCCAAAAATATATGGTTATATATTGCCATGATGCACATGTGTGCACGTTTGCACGTGTGTATATGTATGCCTGTATATGTATCTGTATCAGCACCCAGAAGGGCATAGACCAAAATACCAAGTGTAGTGGTCTTTGGATGATGGAAATAGATATAATTCATTTTTGTATTTTTCTCCTTTATGTTTTCCTGTTTTGGAGGCAGTTTGGGGCAATGAATTCATTGTGTGACTGGGAGAAAGTGTTATTAAAGAACCAGCTCGCTAATCAGCTTCAACCTGGTACCCTCAAATCTTTTTTGTGGAAGGAGACAGGGAACGATTCAAAGTAACCTCCAAGCGCAGCTGACAGGTGGGTGGATGGGCCAGCGGGCAAACCTCAATCTTGAGCCCATGGGCTTATTTTAGCTTTCTCACACAGACTCCCCGGAATTCTGTCCACCAGCAGGGGACTTCCCCATTCCTGAGGGCTAGCTACTGTCCCAGCCATCAGGGTTGTCCTGGGCCTCCCTTGAGCAGATGGCTGCGGGCCGGGGAGGTGGGCACTGATGTCGTGCTGTGTCCCCCTAGCCTCCGGGTGCCCTAGACCTGACAGAGCCTGCAAAGCCACCTGCTCCCCAAGCCCCGACCCCACCCTGCTCCCCAAGCCCGTCCCCTCCCTGGGCTTTTGTCCTGTTTCCCGCAGGTTAGCGAGGCTCACCATGATGCAGTTGGGTTTGTTGATGGACCACAGGTTGACACGGCAGTCATCTCCACCAGTAGCCAGCAGCCGCCCGGAGGCTTTGCCCAGTACCAGTGAGGACACATTGCTGGCGTGGGCAACAATCTCCTCTACACGAGAAAGGACAGGAGGAAAAGGCATTCAGAGAAGGCGGCCCCTGGTCCTGGCACGTGAAGCCCAGGCAGAGGGCTCTGCCCACTACAGCTCCTCTTTGGTGACACCCTGCCATGAGCCGAGGCCTGGCTGCTAGGACAGGCCTTGCACCTGAGGCAGAAGTGACTATTTCTCAACCTCAGGCATTCCTGTCCCACACTCCGGCCTGACGGTTTTCTCCTTTTTCTGCATATAAACTGATAGTATTTTTATGTTTACCATGCTCAACTTAAAAAAATGACTTGCCTTTTGTATTTAGCTCTTTCTAAATAAAGACAATTAAGCGGTAAAATTCATAAAGTCACAAGATTGATATGTTCATTATACTTTATCTATAATACAAAACAAAAACAATTATTAAAAGAAAAAATATTGACCCACATACCACCTAAGCATCTCTCTCGGGCTGCTTGCTACACACATAAACCCACTTTGGAGAACATACTTGGACCATTCAGGTCAACTCTAGACAAGCTATCTCCAAGTGAGCTCACCCAGGGCTTCAGCCCCCAGCTTCAGAATCATGGACCAGGTTCTGGTCTGAGCTCTGCTACTGTAGGCTGTGTGGCCTTAGAGTAGTCACTTACCCTCTCTGAGGGCTGGGTTTCTCCTCTGGTAAATGGAGGTAATAACAGTGCTTGGTTCATTGAGTTGCTGAGGATTCCCTGAGAACATTCTGTTAAGCCGTGCTCAGTGGTTGTTAGCAAGGCTAAGGCACAGAGAGTGGGCACTGGGGGCCCCGGCAGGCATAGGCGGGTGGGCTGCCTGGGGGTGGGAGGCCCGGGTGTGAGGGGTGGGAGTGAGGGCTGACCAGACAGAGTGGGAGGTATGGCCCCGGTGGGCAGCCATGAGGGCCCCTAGCCAGGACTGCTGAAGCTGCAGAGGGGAAGCAGACGTAAACCACAGAGGGTCTCATCAGTGCTCCAAAGGGAACAAACATGAACAAGGAGCTAAGAGGCAGCCCAGGCCTCGAAGCCAGGCCCTAAGTGACTTCCTCCTGGGAATGAGGAGGAAAGAGGACAGGTCTCCCCACACCAGCATAGGGAAAACCCCAATATGCCGACGCCCAGAGGCAACCGGGAGGCCGGCTTGGGTGTCGCTGAGGAAAAGGGCTTGCGGTCGTTGCACAGAGGGCCTCTCCTGCGCTCCGGCCTCCACCCTGCCTGGGGGTCTCTGTGGCGCTGGCTTCGCACCACAGGGCGGGTGGGAAATGGGGCCCAGGAAGGCTGCTTGTCAGGAAGTGTGGCTCAGAGGGGATGTCATCAAAACTGCCCTGAGGACCAGACCCCCAGGCTCACTGTCACAGATGATGCGCCACCTCAGGGCCCCGCCCGGCCAAAGCCCTGCACAGGCTGAGTCCAGCCCCAGCAGAGGCCCACGTGTCAGCGGAGGCCTCGGGAACCCCATCACTGGACTCAGGGAGCTGAGTCCCTCCCTAATCTGCATCTCAACTACGGGCAATTCTGTCCTCTAGACACTGTAGGGACAGATGCCTGGGGTGCTCTGGGGCTTTGGCCACAGGCTCTTGTCTGTTCAAGAGCTTCTGTTGGGACCTAGTGACTTCCCAACCCAGAAAGAGAGCACCCACCTTCTCCCTGAGCGCTCAGTTCCCAAGCCTTGGGCCTTCTCCCCTTCTCTGAAAACACTCCCTGCATGCACTGCCCTCCACTTGTGACCTACCTAAAGGCCTGGGTGTCTACCTTGGCTCTCACCCTTCCCAGGGAAACCTCCGGCTAGGCTCCACCTCACCGGGCTTTCTTGGGCACACTGCCACCCCTCTCTGGGCCTCAGGACTACTGCCCCTTAATTCATATATAAATGTTTCCTGGGTGGCTGCTCCAGGCCCAGCACTGGGGAGAATGTGGGGAACGACAGTGAGAAGGTTCTTGTGTTTATGCTATAGCCTGATCAGATGGGTCCTGGGACATGGCATCCCTCTCGAAGAACCACAGATGTTGGGGTAAGAAGGATGTGGAGGTTGGGTCTTTCTAGAGGGGCTCAGCTCACTCCCCTCTAAGCAGCCTGACCAGGGTCTCTGGCCTGATTGGAGCCCCTGGAGGAGCCGGGGACCAGCAGGAGAGGGAGGTACACCATGGGCACCAGGCAGAGGAGGCTTCGGCATGGGGCACTGGCCTAAGAACTCTCCCTCTGGCCTGAAGGACAGCAACCACCAATGGCCCAGGCCTGGGTACCGAATTTTAGTGCAAACAAATAAAATTCCTCACAGCATCTCTTGGCAGGCCAGGCTGATGGCTGCTGCTCCACCCCCTGGCCCAGGCCTGTGCCAGTTTCTCAAGCTCAGTTGGCACAACCTGGGCCCCACGTCCCAGCTAGAGCCGGGGACACTGCATTCTGACAGAGGTGCTGAGGATTTGCATCCTAAATGGAAGGTGCAGAGAATTGGGTTTCAATGACCCAAACTGGCCTAGCACCTTCTGATCTTTGCTGGACTCTAAAGCCACAAGGAGCAGGGATCATTTGGCTTTGGATCTTCAGACAGCTTATACTCATGGCGGCTGCTATGCACATGAACTTGTCAGCAGAACCGACATGCCTGATCATATTACCTCTTGTTTGAACACTTTGATGGCTTGATCTTGCCTTTAAGATAAAGCCAGGGCCTCAGAAGGGCTGGGGTCCCGTGGACAAGTGCCCCCAAAGGCCCCTTCTTTGAGCCCTTCCAACATACCGAGCTTCCTGCCCCAGGGCCTTTGTAGGTGCTATTTAGGCAGCCTAAGCACTCCCCTACCCTGACCATTATCTAGTTAATGGACTTGAAGCACAGGTCTCAGCTTGGAATCAGAGAAGGAAGGAGAAATGGAGGGGTGTGGTTATTTGATTCCTGCCTGTTGTTCTCCCCAGGCTCTGAGCCCCGCTGCACAGGGACCTCATCTATTTTGCACGCCACACCCCCGCTCTGGACTGCCTCCTCAGTGCCTGATTCTATGCTCAGGAAAGACCAGCTATGAGGGAATATATAAGCCCCAAAATTACAGAGCCACTCTGTCCAAACTGTACTCTCCTTGGGAGTCCATAACAGGGTTCTCCCAGAACCCTAGGGCTAAGAACAATTTGAAACTGCCCAAACTTCTCATTTTACACATGAGGACACTAAGATCCAGCAAAGGGCTTTGCCCAGGTTCTGAAAACAGCTCAGAGGAGCCTTGCACAGCTTCCGAAAACAGCTCAGGGAGAGCTCATAGCAAAAGGTGACCAGTGTGGGCACAGCAAATCTATGCCAACCAGTTATTATAGGTCAGAGGGACCTTTGGATCCTCAAGATCCTTTCCAGGGGTCCAAGAGAAAACTATTTTCAGAATAACACCGAGATGGTACTTGACTTTTACCCTCTCATTTGCTCACAAGCATACATGGGATTTTGGGGGGGAAGACATGTGATGACATCATCACAAATGGCATGTTTGACTGTATATGCCTGTGTTTTAAAATGTCTGGGTATTAATTCCTAACGTGTAAATATGGATAACTCCCATAAACAAAAAGCCATCAGGGTCTTCAACAATTTTGAAGAGGAAAAAGAGGTACAAAGATCAAAACGTTTAGAACTGCTAGTGGAGAATAACGTGAAGGTGGGTAATGTTGCTGCTCAGTCACATTCCAGACCCTTTTGCCAGCACCCCTCAGCCTCCCTTCTCACCCCCACCCCCGCTCCAAGATGCCCCACCTCATGGGGGCAGCCCGACTCGTGAGATGTCTGCAAATGCCAAGAACACCTCTTGGCATTTCTCTAATCCCGCCTGTCAGCCTAACTGCGCTGAGAGCTGCTTTTATGTTCACCACCTCGCTTGGGTCTCACAGCAACTCTGGAATGTAGGTGTGATCATCTCACTACACAGACAGGAAATTAAGCCTCAGAGAGGTTAAGTCACCTGCCCAGTGTCACCCAGCTAAGAAGGGCCAAAGTCATGATTTGCTTCCTGGTGTATCTTACTGCAAAGCTGGGAGTCTCTCTCTGTGCCAAGAACAGGAGACAAAGCTGGGGGTTCTGGCTCTCCAGCAACAAGCAGCTAACAGAATAAACGGGGTGAGCAAGAAAAAAAAGAGAGAAAATCACTCACGCAACTTCCAGGCTGTCTTGGTGACCACGGGGGTGGCCATCCTTCAACCGGCTGCACCTGAAGCTCTGCCCACAAAATAGACTGTGCTTTCCTCCAGGGGTGGGGGTGGATCCCCCCCAGAATCCGCCAATCAAGTTGGCAAGGAGTTCCCACACATCCAGGCAGAGGGAATGCCTCGACTCTCAGCTCCGGATTGCCTCCTGGTTTTAAATCATTCACAGCAGCCACAGCAACAGCCTGTGTGTGCCCGTCAGGATTGTGGATTGTGGAATGTCAGGCTTGAGCCATCTCAGCTCAACCCTGGGCTGGAACACAGACAGAAACGATGGCTTGTTAGAAAACACTTGGTATGAGTTCGCCAAACTCTGGGCTTGCAGAACTACAGCTGCAGCTCCCTGGATCACCAAGGCCACTTGACAAAGAGACACCCACCAAAGCCACCAGAGCCAGGAGCTGCACTGTTTGAGAATCTGGAGGAGGCACCTCAGGCAGGGTGACTTGGGACCCAGGGAAAAAAGGTCCTCCCAGATGCCGGGATGATGGGATGGGAGGAGGCTCTGTTCCAGGAGGCTGGCCGCCTGAAGTGCAGCAGCCGCAGTGGGGCGGGGAAGACCACATGTCCGCAGTTCAGACAGATCTCTGGGAATGACTGCTGTGTCTGACGCTATGGCAAGGGGGTGGAGTCAGAGGCTAAGCTTATGGGCCCAAGAGAGGCACTCCAGAGACAGGCATTTAAGTCTTCTCTGGGTAGAATCTCAAAGAGGGCCCCGAGGGTCCAATCCCTCCGTTCGTGGCAAGGAAACTACTCCTGGCCCTAGCAATACCCAAGGACAGACTGGGAACTAGGTCTCCAGTCTGGGCATGAGTCGGTATGACTCCTCAACTCTAAAAGGCCACCTCATGAAGCCTTCTACCCTTTTCTTCCAAGGCTCTTTCCCATGAACCCTCTCCTGTCCGTCCCCTCTCTCCTGGATTCCCCAGTTCTGCCTCTCTAGTCCGCCGTTTGTTCCCTTTCTCCTTGCTGCCTGTGTCCCCCATCCGTGCATATCCTGTCTCCTGGGCTCCCTAACTTGACCCCTGCCTCGCCAGACCCCCTTTATTTCCCTCCCCACTCTGCTATCAGTATCCCCCCATTCATTCACTCTCCTGCTTCCAGTGTCCCTATTCACCGCCCATCCTCCTGCAGACCCCCAGCTCCGCTTCCGGCCTCCCGGGTTTTCTCCTCCGGCCCCCAAGCCCGTCCCGCCAGTCCCGCCCGTCCCGAGGCTGGGGCTGGTCCCACGGCCTCGCCAAATCCTCCCACTCCTCTCGGCTTGCGGGGCACGGGCTCCAATTTCCCCCCGCCCGGAGCTCTCTCCGCCACGGCGCGGCTCGGCCCGGCCTGGAGTGCCCGGGTCCAAGGCCCATAGGCCCCCTTTCCTCCTCGCCCCCTCGCCCACTCCACCTGCAGCTGAGGCTCCGGAGGCCGAGGCTCCTCTCCAGGCGCGACCCCCACTTGCCTCCATCCCCTGCCCTGATTGGCCGCTGCTTGACAACCGACCCTCACAACAAAACCTCCGCTCAGAGCCCCGCCCTCCTCACCACCCGCACCAATGAGCCGCCGCGAGCGCTCCACCTCCAGCCAGGCTTGACCAATCGAAGAAGGCGCTTCTGCCGCTTTTCCTAAGTACCCGCCCTCTTTTCCTGAATTGGGACTAATCACGAGGAAGGAGAATTCAAGAGCCTCCCCTCAGCTTCTAATTAACCAATGAGGGCTGTCATTTCCTTGGTCCCGCCTCCACCTCAAACTTTCCCTTTCCTCCGCTTTCCTTCTCTTCCTCAAACTTAATTCGCGTTTGAAAGCATTTCGAGCCGCCCTCCAATGCCGGCTGCGCCAATCGCTTTAGCAACCGTCCCAATTTAACCAATAAGCTTAAGCCTTATTGGAAAACCCAGTTCCCAAGTAGCCAATGGGGCGGGGACATCGGGAGCAGCGTGAAGCCACGGAGCTTCCATCTTGGAGGGGGGCGAGGAGGTGAAGTTTTATCACTTTGCGGTAGTTCCTGCGCCTTCCCTCTGGTCGGGGGCGGTGCTGCGGTGGTCTAAGAACTTTACTCCTCTTCTCTGGCTCGGACTGGAGACCTTCAGGGAGACGGAGCATGATCCCGGGTGCGAGCCGAGAGTGGAGATCCCGGGTGCTGCCCCACGGCCCGGCGTCGGTGAATGGATGTGTGGGCTGCCACCTTAAAGGCACCACCAACCAGAAATCGGAGAGAGGCCGGCTTCATTTGATTCGTGGGCAGGAAGGGCTTAGGGAAGGGCCTTGACCGGCTGGAGCCGGGGCCCCACACGTGGCCAGGCCGCCTAGGAACCGCTCATTAGGGACTCGAGCCCACTGGTGATGCCCAGGGCCTGGTGCCTAAAGACCCCCGAACCTCCCCGTTTATCCGCCAGCCGCTCACTGCAGCTCAGGGCAGCTTGATCTCTTGTAACGCACCTGACAATCCTAAGAAGTAGGAATTCCTGTTCCGATTTACGGATAAGGAAACTTGAGGTCCAGATTAACGCGCTTGTAATAGGCCACACGATAAAAAAGAATGGTGTCCGGATTTGAACCGTTGTTGTTAAAGCAAAGTCTGCGGATTTCTCCACGGTACTGCACCCCCTGCCAGAGAGAGGCAGAGGGTCCACCCTCACGTTGTACTTTTGGGAAGTGGGTGGAGAGAGGTATCAAAAGAGGACTAGATGAGCAGAATAAAATCTGATTGGTCAAAGCTGTCCACTCTGTATTTCCCCTCAACTTTTTATTGTGAAAAACTTCCCAGAGAAAACTTGCAAAGAATTCTACAATGATGTGTAATAGTTTTAATAGTATAATTCACCTGGTGGATAATCCAACACTTGCTAGCATTTTTCCGTGTTTGCTTTGTTCATGTATGTATGTTTGCTGAGTGATTTGAAAGTTGTAAACATCAAGACATTTTTGCCCTCAGTGGCACTAAAATGCTGAGCACGTACCTCTTAAGAATAAGGCTCTGGTCCTGATAAGCATTAAATCACCACATTTAAAACAATAGCAACAACAAACTAATAACTCCCTAACATGCAGTCCAGATTTCCCCAATCATCCCCGAAAGCTATGTAAAACTTTTTCTAACTAGGAAACAAGATTCACCACACCTGGCTCTTTAACTCATTTTGTTCCAGTCCAACTTTTTTTTTTTTTTTTTAAATAACATTGATCTTTTGAAGAGATTGATCAGGACTTTTACCTTGTAGACTGTCCCACATTATGATTTTGTCTCACTGTTTCCTTCTAGTGTTGTTTATTTTTGTTTCTTTCCCTCTGAATTTCCTGTGAATTGGAAGTTAAAACTTGATTAGATTCAGGATCAGCATTTTAAAATACTTTGTACTGAAGTATCACGCACATGCTCCAAAGGGCATAGACTCTAAGTGTCAAAGTGAGTTTTCACAAACTGAACATGCTCAGGTCAGGAACATTACAAACTTCCCAGAAGCCCCCCATGGTGCTCCCTCACATTCACGAACCCTTACACCCCAAGAGCAGTGATTATCCTGATTTCTAATACCATCAATTAATTCGTCTGGGTCCCCCTGCCCCCCATATAAATGGAATCAGGCAGCATGTACTTTTTTTGTATCTGGAAATCTTTTGATATTGTATATGAGGAATCTCCATGTGGCTTATAGTTCATGCATTTTCACTGAGCCTAAGTAGAGTTTCTCAACCTTACCATTACTGATATTTTAGGCTAGATCCTTTTTTGTAGCAGGGAGCTGTCCTGTGCATTGTAGAATGTTTAACAGTATGCCTGGGCTCTACACACTAGAAGCCAGGAGCATTCCCATACAGTTATGACAAAAATCTCTCAAGACCACAATATATGTCTCCATTCTACTCTTGATGTGCATTTGGGTTCTTTCCAGCTTGGTACTAATAATAGTGCTGCCATGAATGTTCTAGTACATGCCTTTTAGTGGATGTATATGTGCATCTTGGTTGAGTTGTTCATCATTCTTGTTCATTGGATGAGCGGGTGAATAGATGGATGGGGGAGCATGGATGGATGGGTGGATGGAATGGAACCTAGGAGCAGAATTGTTGGGCCAAAGCTTAGTCCTAGATACCTCCAGTTTTCCAAAGTGGTTGTACAGATTGACCCTTCCACTGGGAAAGCTACGGGAGAGTTCCATTTGCTTCTTATCCTCCTGACACGTATTCATGGTATACATACTGCTGGGTTTGTGGTGGCATTTCATATCCCTGATGACTAATGAATTTGACACTTTCATGTGTTTCTTGGCCACTTTTTAAGCTAACATTGAGTGCTTTCTAAGTGCCGTTTCCAGCCCTCTCTGATTTACAAGTGTTATGGAAGACAACAACGCCATGCCATTTCACAGATGGCTAAATAGTAGTTGGTAAGAAGAGGAGCTGGGCGCTGTTCCTGGCAGTCTAATATGGAGCCCCCAGGTCCTGGAGCATGCACCTTGGCTTTGCCATTCCCACATTGTCAGCTGGGCCACCCTAGCCACATTGAGATCTAACCAGTTGTTTGAAGGTGGCTGTGGGACCATCTGCAGAGGTGCTGCAAAGACTCAACATTCCAATGGGAAGACGGACAGGAAGCAAATAAAGAAGGTGGCCAAGGTGAGTGGGCAGATGGTGGCCCCTAGGCTATAAAGACTAAACATGAGGTGCAAGCAGCAAATTCAAAGGGTGTTTATTTACGGGAAGGTCATGAGAAGCAGGAACAGACAGGGCCACAGGGAGGCGGTGTGGCAGTGAGGTTGCCCAAGTGGACTGTCATTTTCCGGGTGTGGGGGGCACAGGGGCCAGGCTGTGGGGGAGGTTTCTTGCCCTGGCAGCTTTGGCCAAGGCCCCATGGCGGGCATCAAACAAAGACTTTCATGAACTCCACCAGGCGTGGGTCCTTGTAGAGCTTTTCCTCCAGAGCCAAGTACTTCAGCGGGGCCAGCTCCTTGTGCCTAAAATCAGAGGCAGGAACAGGAGGTGGTGAGGGTTCACAACGCTCTGCTCCAGCCTCCTAATGGTCCTGTCCAGCTCCCCCGTCCCTCACCGGTTGAGCCGCTGCTCCAGGATGCGGATGCGGAACATGGCCTGAGAGCAGTAACTCAGATACAAGTCCTCGTCCTCGACCGTCAGGGTCACCTGGTTCTCCTGGTACCACTGCTGCTTCTTCTGCAGCTCCTGGGTCTCCTGCGGGCATGGGGAGCAGAGAGCAGAGGAGTCGATGAGGGCCGGCCTTGCTACCACCATCCACAGAAGCCAGAGCGGCAGAGGCAGGGGCCACACAATGTCTTGCATGGGAGCCAGTGGGGGGGTCACATTTAGAGACGTGTCGTGTTCATGAGGAGCAGGCCTCAAGACTGAGAGCCTGGTGAACAAGTTTCCAATATTTTCAGAGCTTCCAATTCCTTGTCTGCAGAATGAAGGGCACTGTATACCCTTGCACACACCAGAGAGCATTGTGTGCAGGTTAAAGGAGATAATGCATGGAAACTACATGGCACGTAGCTGAGTATGAAATGCAGCGAGGACTAGGGGTTGTTATAACATACCACCCCTCCATCCACCCCCCACCTCTCCACCCCTCCACCCCTCCCTCCCTGCTTCCACCCAGCAAACAACGAGGAAGGACAACTCGGTCTTCTGGAAAATTCCAAGCACTGATTGACTCATTCCCCCTCACTGCTCCCTCAAAAGTGTGGAGATGGCGAGCAGACAGCCCCGAGTCCATTTTCTGGATGAGGATGCCGAGGTTCCCTCCCCTGCCCAGGCCCTGGCCGCACCTTCTCGAACCGGGCCTGGATGAGGTTGGCCTTGTCGATGAGCCGCTGCTTAAAGTCACTGAGGCACTCGTCCTTGACACGCATGGCCTGCCAACGTGTCATCTTCTCACTCGGCGGGAGCTGTGCCAGGAAGGGGGCCAGATAGTCCAGCTGGGCCTCCACCTGCTGCAGGTGTTCCTCGTGCATCATGTGCTCCTGTGGGGGGGAGGGGGAGGGTCAGCTGGACCAGCAGGAGCCGCAGAGACCTCCTGACTAGCTCTGCATCAACATGTGATGACACAAAACTAGGCCTTAAATCCAGATCCCAGGGCCTGGTGCCTCTGGGACGGAGGCCACGGAGGGGCCCTTTGTGCCGGCCCTCGTAGCAGTGGTCACAGTCGGTAACAGCCAACTCTGCATACCTGAATTCACATCTCTCTGCCTGAGCCCCGGCAAATAACCAACGCTCAGCTGATGCTTGTTGAATAAATGGTAATAAATGGTGATCATAGTAACGGTAAATCAAAAATTGCCAATAACTCCCTTCTTTCTCTCTCTCACCCCAGGTATTCTAGCCTGTATCGGCTGAGAACCAGTGAGTGGTCTAATGCCCTGTCCTGCCTCGACAACCCCAAACTATTTGTAGAAATCTCCACACTTGGTGGGTGAAGGAGATTTAGAAGCTGGCCTTGATGGGGCGCCTGGGTGGCGCAGTCGGTTAAGCGTCCGACTTCAGCCAGGTCACGATCTCACGGTCCGTGAGTTGGAGCCCCGCGTCGGGCTCTGGGCTGATGGCTCAGAGCCTGGAGCCTGTTTCCGATTCTGTGTCTCCCTCTCTCTCTGCCCCTCCCCCGTTCATGCTCTGTCTCTCTCTGTCCCAAAAATAAATAAACGTTGAAAAAAAAAATTTTTTAAAAATAGAAGCTGGCCTTGAAAACCCAGCTGGGCCTTGCAACCCGAGGGTATCACCCGAAAGTCCTGTGCGGCAGGTGCCCGAGAACTCAGGCCTGTGGCCAGAGTGGGCTCCCTGGGGCTACCGGCCCAGGTCCTGACCTTGAGGGGAGCCCTGGGTGGAGGTGGGTACACGATTTCCATTATTTTCCCATGTGGCAGAGGGCCTTGGCTTGGCCACAGCCCCTGGAGGTGGGGGGAGACCTTCTGGATCCTGAGCACCCTTTGGTGTTCATCACAGAAACGGTCAGCTCAACAGCAAGGAGGACCACAGTGGTGTCAATAGCTTTGTCCCCTATAAGGAGCTCCCTGGCAGAGTCCCTGATTGTCCTCACTGTCCCGGAGCCCTGGGGGGCAGCGGTGTCCAGGAAAAGCCAGGGCCTGGGCCAGGACACGAGGCTCACCATGGCCTCCCGATACTCTTTGCTCTTCTCGTTGCGCTTGGTGTCATAGATGGAGATGGTCAGCCTGTGCTCCTCCTCCTCCTCCTCTCGAAGCTTCAGGATCTCCAGCACCTAAATTGGAAAGCGGGGGATGGCATGGATAAGACACCCTCTACCCTTGCCTCCT